CTCAAGACCTATCTAGAGAACAAGTTGAGAGACTCTGTGAGCTGAACAGAGAACACCTGAACTGTGATCATCAATATTAGAAAAAGAGATGAGAAATCTGATGAAGACTACTTACAGTGCTTCATGAAATTGTGATATAAATTGAGATCTGTGAAAACAGGGCTCTGAAACAAGATCTGAATGATGATGTTCATGAAGAGACTGGATAAAGATATACAGAACAAGCTCATTGAGTAAGACTCTAAGTTCTTGACTCTGAAGAAACTGATGACTCTCATTCATCACTTGCAGATCACTGTGAGAGTCACAGATTCATGAAGAGTGAATCATCAACCAGCTCTGTGAGAGCCAGGACAACAGAGGACAGATTTGTCAGGAAAAGATGACAAGATACAGAGAGATTTGTGTCTGACTGCTGAGCAGAAAGAGAGAGCTTCACAAGCTTCTGTAAACAGAGTGCATAATAGAGAGATTAAGAAAAAGAAACTCTGCTTTATCTGTTCTAAATCAGAACATCTCTGCGCAAACTGTCCAGACAAATTAAAATAGAAATTTGAGAAGTCACAGACAGAGTCAGCAACAGCCTTCTTAAGGGTCTTGAAGCTGACACTTGAATCTGTTGCTTTCTCAATGAAAATGCTTACTTGCAGAAAGAGACTGCACTGTGATACTGCTGCTCTGCAAGCATGAAAAGTATTGATAAACTCAGGATCTCAGGTCACTGTGATATCTCTAAAGCTCACAGAGTGAATGAGCTGAAAGATGAAGACTGAGAATCTGCTCTTATAATAAGCAGAGCATGAGAACTCAGATCTGAGAGCTGAGAGACTTATGAGAGTCATCTTTGAATTGCAAGATCTCTCTGAAATCTGGAGAAGATTTGCAGAAACTGTGATTATTGTGAACATCACAGATGACATGTATTTGAGACTTATATGATTTTAAAGACACAATTCACACATAGCTGTCTGTGAGTCAGGTTTATACTTCTGATCAGTGTTGACAGACTCACTTATAAAGATAGAAGCAGTTGATGCTGCAGAGTTAATTAGAGAAGACAAGCTTATCTATGTAATGACTTTGTAAGTGTCTGAGAACCTCACAGTCATGAAAACTGAGCTTCAGATATCAGAGAAATACTGAGATCTTACAGAGATGTTCAGCTCAGCTAAGGCAGCTGAGCTTTCTTCTCACTGTAAGAAGAATCTGATAATAGATTTGATAGAAGAATAGAAATCCTTCTGAGAATCAATCTATAAGCTCTTTCATCATGAGACAGAGATCTTGCAGATCTATGTGAAGAAGAATCTGAAGAATGACTTCATCTGATCTTCACAGACCTCTGTGAGAGTCTCTGTGATGTTCATAAAGAAGAAGAATAAAGATCTCAGATTGTGTGTAGACTACTGTGACCTGAACTTCAAGATAACAAAGAGCTGCTACTCTCTGTCTCTGATTGAGAATGTGATCAACTGTCTCATGGAAGCTGTCATATTCACATAACTGAATGTGATCAATGCATATACACAGCTGTGAATATAATCTGAGAATGAATGAAAGACTGTCTTTAGAACTGCACTGAAATTGTTTGAATATCTAGTGATGTCTTTTGATCTGACTAATATCTCTGCAGCATTTCAGTCTTTCATCAATAAAACACTTCATATATATCTGAATGTCTTTATGATAATATATCTGAATGATGTGGTGATGTACTTCATGAAGAAGAAAGAACACACTGAGCATGTGCAAAGCATGTTGAAGGCCTTAGATGAGACAGAACTGTATGTTAAGCTCACAAAGTACAACTTCAGTGCTCACTGAATTAATTTTCTAGAATATGTAATCATCACAGATAATATTCAGATGAAATCTTCATGAGTTGAGACTATTCTATTATGACTGAAGTCAACTAGTATTCATGAGATTCAGATCTTTCTAGGCTTTGTGAATTTCTATAGACAGTTTATCTTTATATTCATAAGAATCTTCTTGACTCTTACAGACATGCTGAAGAGTGAAAATAAGAAGAAGTTATTCTACAAACAGAGAATGAAAAGATTGTTGAGAAGAGAGAACTGTGAGAACTTTCTTATCTCAGAAGCTCACAGAGTCTTTGCAAGATTGAAACAGGTATTTACAGACACAGTGATGCTGTTTCACTTTAATCTCTTACTCTTAATCAGATTAAAGACAGATGTCTTCTTCTTTACAATTTCAGAAATAGTCTTATAACTACAGTCAAATAGAAACTGAGTTTCAGTGATCTTTTTCTCACAGAAGATGCAACCTGTGAAGATCAACTATAACATTCATGATCAGAAGCTTCTCATAATAGTGAAATTCTTCTATCACTGATATCACTACTTCAAGAGCCTTGTAACAGTGATTGCTGTTAGAATCAATTATAACAGCTTGTAATAGTTTGCTTCAATCAAGAAACTCTTATGATGACAGGTTCACTGAGCTCAGAGACTGAGTGAGTTCTGATTCAAGATAGAATATATCAAGAAAACTAAGAACTCAGTGAATGAACTCTCTCACAGATCAGACTATATTAAGAAGATCAGAGCAACAGACATAGAGAGACTAGAGAAGATAGAAAAGCTTCACAGAATGCTCAGACTGAGTGTTGCAAAGAGATTGACTGAAGAGTCTCTCAATCCTCTGCAAGAGAAGAGGGAGAAGAGAGAAAAGAAGCCTGTACAACTACTCTCTATAACACTGAGAGTCAACACTCTGAAAATCTTCATGAGAATTCTTGAAGAGAGTATCTATAATCTGAAGAGTTTATGAGCTTTGAGAAGTACTGTAGAAGACCTGATGTAAGAGAAAACAGAGTATAAGTCTTCATAAGATCTTCTATTCAGATTGTCTGAACTGCAACTGAAGAATGAATATACTCAGCATATTTAAAAACTACTCACAGCAGAGATCAATCCTGTAGAAACAAAGAATTGAAGAGACTTAAATGATCTCTTGTAAAGAGAGGGCTGGATTTATGTGCCTGTAAATGAGTTTCTACACATAGAACTTATTAAAAGATATCATGACTCTTCTCTAGTGAGTCATTTTACAGATACTAGAACTCATGAGTTGCTTGCAAGGAAATACTTCTGATCAAAGATGTGAGAACTTGTGAAGAAGATAGTAGATTCTTATACTGTTTATCAGAGTTCACAGATAGTGCAGTTCAGACTATATAAAGAACTCACTCCTCTATTCATTCTGTGAGAACCTTGGAAACAGCTAGGAATGAATGCTCTTGTGAGTCTCTCTGAAAGCAAGGACATATATGATGCCTGCTTTGACAGTGTACTGGTGATAGTAAATCACTTCATCAAGATGGCACACTTTATACTCATCTGCAAGGACTTGAAGTCAAAGAATTTGACTCACATCTTTGTCTGTGATGTGATTCAGTTACATGAGTTGTCTATAAACATTGTCTCAGACAGAGAATCAATCTTTGCAGGAGAGTTCTGATCTGATCTGATAACTATACTGAAGATCTTGTGAGATCTAAGCATGACTTTTCATCAACAGACAGATGATCAGATAGAATACCTGATGAGTATATTGAAACAGTATCTGCAGTGCTTTGTCAATTATAATCAGAATGACTGAATGTATTGATTATTACTTACAGAGTTTGTATATAACAACTCAAAGCATGTCAGCACAGATAAAACTCTCTTTGAGATACTCACTGAGACTCATCTGCAGATGATCTTGATGAACCTGCAAGAGTACACTATAGAGTGTGGTGATGCCTGTGAACAGGCTGAGAGAATTCAGGAGATCTGAGAGAAAGTCTGTGAATTCTTGAGAAAGGCTCAAGAGTATCAGAAGAGATACTATGACTTCAAGCATATCACAAAGAGTTTCAAGAAAGATGATAGAGTCTGACTGAGTCTAGAAAACATCATCATACAGAGATCTAGCAAGAAGCTGAATCTCTTGCAGATAGAGTCTTACAAGATTGTGAAGAAAGTTAGCTTACAGTTCTACAGATTGAAACTGTTATCTGAGTTACAGATGTACAATGTTTTTCATGTCTCTTTGCTCTGTGAATATAAGAAATTCTCAGAAGAGAACTCTGTGACTCATCACTCTGTCTGTGAAGCACTAGAGAGTGAAAGAGAATATCAGGTCAAAGAGATTATTGACTCAGAGAAGTGAGATCACAAGCTCTGATTCAAGATTCAGTGACAAGAATATTCTGATAAGATGAATGAGTTCACTTGAGAATCATCTGAGTAGATAAGACATCTGCAGAAGCTGAGACATGACTTTCATGCTGCAAATTCTGATAAGTCAGAATGACACAGTCTTTGCTAAGAATCTGATTGTGATAAAGATATTAACACTGTCATTTACAAACTCTAGTCTACAAGATAATGGGTTTCTACTGAGATGAACAGTCTGCAGTATATACAAGAGAAGAAGAAAACATGTTCTCATTAAAGCTAAAAAACAAGAAAATAAACAGGGCTGTAAATACAATTTAGAGATCAATAAAGAAAAAACAAAGAAAATTCACACTCACATCACTAATATCTGTGATACTCAATCCTCTCACAACTACCAATTTCCCTCTTCAAAGAAGCAGAGAGTATTATGCTCATAGTACAGACAATTATTACATTTGATGTGAAGATTATCAGAAATGCACAGACTTCAGAGAAGCTGAATATCAGAGTACATGCAGTTGCAGCAGGGCCTTGAAAACTGGTCATCTGCATGTGTGATCAGATATCTCTTATGAAGCTGTGTTCACTCTCTCAGTTGTGCTGAAGTATTCAGTCTGAAAATAATGAGAATACAGAGAGAGAGCTCATCTGTTCAGGTCAACTTCTGTTACAAATTCATGACATTTGCATTGCCTTGATTATCCGGATTTTGCAGGTACTCAGAAACTCATCTCTCATTGACAATGAGATTGTGAAAATGCGCTGCAGTGTAAGGACCATTGGTAGAGAACCTAGACATATTCACATATGTCTGGTCAGAGATTGTGTGAGCAGGGAGAGGATGATTGTAGGCCTGCAGAACTGCAGGAGACACTGGCAACACTGAGAGCTTCACAAGAACTGTCAGCTAGAGTCTGTAAGGAATTACTTGTGAGAAGACTTACAGCAAAGAAGAGAACTGCACTGCTTGAAGCCAGGGGCTGGCCTGGGGGAGGAATGGGGTGAGCCGCTGGCCTGAAGATCGGGTGCAGTGATGAGGCTGAAAGAGATGGAGATACAGTTGTGAGCAGCAGCATCTCTGCTCCATCAGCTGGTAAAAAGCAATCAGAGGAGTCACAGGGACACTCACAAGAAGCTCAGCAGCAGTCAGACATTGTTTATGAAGATATTGAAATTGAAAAAATTTTTATTCTTGAGAAGTTCTTGAATCAATATGCAGATATTGTCAGGAACACTCTCTCTCTGTTATCTGAGTGAAAATACTTCACAGATGAATGAGAATACTCACAGTTTGTGAGGATGAAAGCTGTTACAGAAAAAGAGAAAAGAAGATGAGATTCTGTGAACAGATCTGAGATATTTATACTACTCTAGAGAGGTTTGCTTACACTGTGAGTGATTCTGCAGAACAGTCAGATCACTCTAGTAAATAAGAGTGATTGTGAATCACAGGCCTGAATCTTTCTATATGACTACAAAGAGTGATTGCAGACTGCAGACATCTTGATTCTACAATTCTACAGAGTTGATGAAAGAATGGAAAATTCCTCATAATTCTACAGTGTCAAAGAGCAATGATTTGTGAGAATAAATGAAAGATCAACTCATGAATATTTCTCTTTGATGAGAATGATCTCACAGAGAGTGATTCATCTGTGAGATGAATCTGTGTGATGATTATACAAGAATCTCATGAAAATGATTGAGAGTCAACTGAAACCCTTCTGTATGAAAGGTGTGAGATGAATCTGTGTGATAGTCAGAGAAGGATCTGTAGATCACAAAGAATCTCACAGAATAAGAAACTGAGTGACAGACTCTTTTCTCTTCATAGTAACAAGGGATTTTTCCTCACTGAGGTTTTTTATAGATGTGAAGGATTTTTAGTGAGTATCACTGCAGTGCTGAGCTGACTATGAAGTCACTCAGTGAAAGGCTTTGCAGATGAAGTCTTAGAGAGAGAAGAGTATGTAAGAAATCCTGCTTCTCACAGATTCTTTACCTCTATTCCTATCTCTCATGTAATCAATAGAGCTAGCAGCCCTTGGCTACACACAACTATATAGACTGGAATTCGCGAATACTATTCACAACTCAGCTTGAATGCTATGATACATTTGACTTCTACATTTATCTTCCTACCATGAACACTTCTAGTAGTTAACAGTACATATCACACCAAGCTGCAAACACCTGAATAATCGCCTGCGAGCACTTATTCTTACAACTGCAGTTTTTATTGATATAAAAGATATATTTAATCATGTTTCAAAGTCTAAGATGATTCAAACTTTGAAGATGTTAAAACTATCACTTTGTTTAATAAAATGAGTTGATTATTTCATATCTAAAAGAATTATACAACTATTCTTTGATGAAAGAAAACAAGATAAAACTGAGATAAAAATAGAAGTATCACAAGAATCACCAATCTCACCTGTTTTATTTGCAATATACACTGCATATCTATTCAAGAATAGAGAGATGAAAATAGTGAGATCTTCAAGTTATATAGATGATATTGATCTACTCTACAGTTCAAAGACAATCAAAGAGAATTTAGAAGTGATTGAGAAAGCAGTAAAGAAAATCTTTGTTAGAGCAGATATCAATCTAATTCAATTTAATATGAATAAAACTGAGTTAATTCACTTTTTTCTCAGATTTAATAAGAAAGAACTAAGTCTAACTCTTTTGAATAAAGAGATTAAACTCAGTTTAAATGTCAAATGACTAGAAGTATGATTAAACTCCAAGTTGAGTTTTAAATATCATATTCAACAAAGAATCATGAAGACAGAGAGACTACTGAATAGTATAATCAGACTATCAAATACTGAGAGAGGTCTATCTTTTCAGGCTATGAGACAGTTATACATAGCCTGTATTATCTCAGTAGCTGATTATGAAGTTCAAGTTTGATGAAACAATCAAGATAACTTCACTGAACTGTTTCAAAGTCTATAAAACAGAGCTTTGAGAAGAATTCTGAGAGCATTCAAATCATCTTCTATTAAAGTAATGAAAATTGAAGCTTCAATTCCATCTTCTGCTATTCAATTTGAAAAGACCTGTATAAACTATACTCTGAGAGTCATGAAGATGAGCTTAAATCATATAATCAGAGAAAGAGTCTCTTCTTCATTTTCATCAGTTAACTCAGGAAATGAACTGGATTGAAATAGATTTCTTGATTGAAATAAGAATAATACTTTAAAGAAAATGCTCTCTCAACTGTATAGACTATGTTCACTTATTAAGAATCAATTTTCTTCATTAAATATTGAGAAAATTGATCATGAGAAGATATCTCTCTGAAGAGAAAAGCTGAAATCTCTCATAGACTTACAAATAAGTGAACTATCTAAAGAGAGAGAATATGAACTGCATTTAAAGAAGATCTCTACAATCAATATAAAAGACTCTATTCTGATTTACTCAGATGACTTAAAAAATAAGAATTTGAATAGATTAGATACAGGCATTGCTTATACTGAAGATAATATCAATTTTATCTCAGATTTCTGAAATTTAGACTGTGAATCTGAAGTTTTTGATGCTGAACTATTTGCAATAGTGAAAGCTTTCAAACTCATTGAAATAAAATCTTATAAAAGAGAAAATAGTTTGAAAGAGATATGAATATTCTCTGATAGTCAAGCTGCTTTAAAAAGACTTAGAAATAGTCAGATTCATAATGATCAAATGAATCTTGAACTGATTTTAAACTCTGTGTTGAAAATTCAAAAGAGAAGAATATCTAAACTGATAATTCATTTGCATTGAGTTCCTGCTCATATGAATATTCATGATAATGAATTGGCTGATTCAGCTGTAAAAAAGAGTTCAGAATTAAGCAGATCTATTCAAAAAACAGTGTTCTGATCTTTCATAAAGAGAAAGATAAAAGAATCTTGTTTAAATAAGTGAAATGAAAGCTGGCAGAAACAAAAGAAGAGCATACATTATTCAAGATTTAAGATAAAATCAAAGTGGAAATCTTGTGCAATTAAATGTAAAAAGAAAATATTCTCATTCATAATTCAGCTAAAACTAAGACATGGTTATTTCAAATCCTATATACAAAGATTTCATGATAGATTTGATTCAACAAAGTGCTCATTCTGCAATATAAATGAAAATCCTGAGTATATTGTAATACATTGTGCATTTTACAATAGTCTCAGAGTCAGATTAAAGAAGAAGTATGATTTAAATCAATTAAATATGAGGTTCTTATTCTCAACTGAGACAGGAATTAAATACTTAATAGACTTTCTATCAGAAACTCAAGCAGCTATAAGAAAATGACTCAATTCAGAAGTATCTGAATATGAAGAGGTGGAAATTGATTAGATATAGTCTGTTAAAACAGCTATACACTAACTTTTAATAATTTTATTTTGTTATAGTCTCTCTTTACTATACTTGTTTCTTTCTGTTCTTTTCTATCTATCTATTTAATGTGTCTATCTTTAAGACTATGTTCTCTTTTCCTTTGTCATGATATTTTCAAATGATTTCAAAGTATCAGAAGGTGTTGAAATACTGCAATTTGTAAACAGTTTTTATATTCTGGGCTGGAATTTTCTGATTTTGCATATCTGAAATTGATAAGTGTATAATAGTTGACTCTATAGATATAGGAAAAACCCTGAGAACTAAAGGTTCTCAGGTAGATGTCATAGTCTCTGACTGCATACATATATAATTGAAGAATAATAATAATAATAATAATAATAATAATCTACTGTTCAGATGAGACATTATCAGACTAACAGATAAAACCTCTTAAGATAATATTTAAGATAAACAAGATGAAGCAAAGAGTACTAGCAGTTAAATTACAACTGAAAAGCCTCTGTTAAGAGAGATTCTCAATCTTCACAGATTAACTACAAAATGTTAATAATTATTCTATTGTTATCTTAACAGTTTACATAGTCACATGAAATTCTAATCTCAGTAAAAGATTGAAATTCAATCTTTATACACTGAATAGCTGTATTGACAAGATAATCTCTCAATTTAAGCAAGATATCAAGAATGCTGTGAGATCAAACAGTCTAACTGATATATTTAATTACATCATATGAAGTATCTTTGTGAAAGTGAAACTGATTGATACATAGTGTTAATATATAATAAAGAAATAACAGACTCAGAACTCTCTATGAAAAGATGCTGAATGAGTATTATTCTGAGATGTCAGAAACTGATAACTCTACACATTCATCTCAAACTTACTGAGTGTAGATGTCAGACTATATTTCTCTAAATATGATGAAAATTGAATTACTTATACTGTATAAAATGCAATTAAACAGAAATACTCTGTTCTTAATACACAGTAACATCATGAGACAGTTCTGAAATTCATGTTACTTGATAGTATACAGATCACTAATCTACACACATTCTTTGATACCTTTCAGTCTGTTATTATGAAATTGAAGATGATGAATACTTTTCTCTCACATGTATGAATACTTGATATCTTCTATTCAGTTTTACTTAACAATTGCAGGGATTATATTCAAAAGAAAATAGAGAAGAAACAGGATTTTAAATTCATAGCAGTGATATTGCATGTTGATCCTCTCATGAAGAAGATCTGTTCACAGCTTAATTCTTCAAAAGATAAAAAGATTCTATGGCATACAGATTCTGCAGCTAACTATGCTATAATAGCTACAACAGCTACAATGTCTATTAATTTCAATAACAATACATTGAATTCAGTCTGTGAAGATTATACTGAACATAGTTGTGATAGTTTATAAGAGAGCTTCTGCAATTATCAGAGATCAGATAATTCATCTACATGTTCTAAATATAAGAGATCTCATTTTAATAACTGTAATTGATCAATTCTGACAGTGCTTCAGATATTGAAGAATCTACAACACTGCAAGAATAAAGAAATTCAAAGAAAAGAAGAAAAAGATCAATAGTGAGAGTAGAACTTAACTATCTATTCCAGATAATTCAGAGACCTTTCAGATAGTAAATCTCATAGAGGTTATAAATGTATCAGTCTGTTTCATGAAACCTCACAAGAATTCCCTCACTATATGAGATAGTGATGCTGGATGCCATATAGCAAGTGATAGATGATAATTTTCAAAGCTCATAGCAATCAACAGTTCAACAGTTCAAGTGACTAATAAGATCATTCTGAAGATTCAGAGTGTCAGCACTGTGTTCATCTCAGTGAGTGAAAGATTGATAGAATTTAATTATATATACTACATAGT